TCCTGAGACCTCCAAAGAGAGGTTTGTCTCTTTGATTGGAAAACTCTTCATGGTGGGCTTTTACAATGCCAAGTGGCAAAATATTTTTTCGCCTTATTTTCGAAAATGTCCTCAATGAATACGCACTGATTTGGAAAAAAAATTTTTTTCTCCTCTAAAAACACTCACACACAGATCTCCTCTCCTCCCCATCATCACACCCTGTCTTTCTGCAACATGAGTTCATCTCCTTTGGGCTCTCTGAGATCCCCACCCTTCCCCCAGTGCACACCTCTTGGTCTCCACTGAGTGGCCCAGGAGGCAGGTCTACTTGCAAACTGGAGCCTTTTTGAAAGAAAAGAGACTCAAGAAAAAAACATCTACAGTGAAAAGCAACCTCTGTGGTGCCTAAGGTGCTCCTGGGAAATGGGAATGCATCGGGGCCCCCAAAGAGAGAGGACACCAACCAAATATTCATAGAAGAAGAGAAACAATCAGACAAGACGATCACAGGGAGATGGGCAGCTCTCACGTGCAGCACTGGCATTATCTGCAGGTAATAAACCCCAACAAGGAAGACACGCCTGGGCAGACGGGTCCGCGGAGTTTCCTGTACAAAGGAAGACGTCACCTGTAACTGCACACTCGATGGCAGGATCCGGACAGACAAATACATTACACGGCGTATCGCCCCAACCTTCAAAGGTTGGTCAGAATGATCGTGAAAATTATATGACAAGGAGTCACATTCCCAATAGGTCAGATTTTCGAAGCTGGGTGACAGAATCACATCTGGACTACAACGCCAGCCGCTGACAGCATTTATGCACAGAGCGAGCGCCTGAGAAGTAAGGCAGGGAAATGAGAAGGGCTCGTGGGTTAGGGGGTGGGAAGCACAGTCCCATTTCTAATTCTCCTGTAATATTGCTGTCCATGCATCGACTAAAGTGCTATTCAGCATTTGGGGGTGGGTAATCGTTTTATTTACTTATTTAAATGGAGGTACTGGGGATTGAACCCAGGACCTCGTGCGCTAAGCACGTGCTCTACCACTGAGCTCTATCCTCCCCTGCTACTCAGCATTCTTGAAAGCATCCAGGGAGGAGAGGATAGTTCAGTGGTAGAGAGTGTGCTTAGCATGCAGGCGGTCCTGGGTCCAATCCCCAGTCCCTCCATTAAAAACAAACGAACAAATCAATAAATAAACCTAATTATCTCCCTCCGCAAAAGAAATAAAATTAAAAACTGAAAAAAATTAAAAAGACATCCCACAATGTAACTTTTGAAAAGCTTTGAAATAAGTAGAAGGATGCTCCACACTTTTTCCTCCAATAGAAATCTCCACTCCTCCACAGCATCTCTTCTCAAACCTGAATGTGCCATCTCATTAAAACGCAGCCTTGTAGTCAGTGGTCCAGGGCCGCCAGTGCTGCTGGACCATGGACCACACCTGACAAAGCGACCATCTAAGCACCTAGTGGCCTCTATGACCATTTCTCCCCTAGGTTATTTCCCATGCGGCACCACCTGTGTGTACAGCACTGGGGAGGCAGGTGTGGGACTCTGGGGCACCCTCTGCACATGTCCGAGGCCAGGACTTTGCTGGCCACACAGCCTGGCCATCCCCGGGAGGAGAAAAGGATTACTTTTAGAAAGGTAGGTTGTGGTATGGAGCAAGAAATCACCAAATTTCCCAGGGAAAATCCTTCACACACACATACATCTTGCTTTTGAGATGGTTCCTATCAGCTTGGGATTTGCAGATACATACTACTATGTACAAAATAGATAAACAACAAGGTCCTACTGGATAGCACAGGGAACTATATTCAATACCTTGTAATAATCTGTTATGAAAATGAATATGAAAAAGAGTATGCATATGTACAACTGAATCACTATGCTGTACATCAGAAACTAACACAACATTGTAAATCAACTATACTTCAATTTAAAAAATTAAAAAAATAAAAACTTCGGTATGCCATTGGACACTATCAACAGAATGAAAAGGCAATCATGGAATGGAGGAAAAAACTGTAAAACTATGAATCATATATCTGATAAGGGATTAATACCCAGAACTACAACTCTACAAAAAATTAGACTCAAAAAATGGGCAAAGGACTTGAATAGACATTTCTCCAAAGAAGATAAATGGCCAGTAAGCACCTGAAAAGGTGTTCAACTTCACTAATCATTAGGAAATGCAAATCAAAACCACAATAAGATACCACCTCACATCCGTTAGTATGGCTATTGTAATAATTTAAAAAAAAACAGAAGATAGCAAGTATTGGCAAGGATATGGAGAAATTGGAGCCTTTGTGCACTGGTGGTGGGAATGTAAAATGGTGTGGCCACCATAAAGAACAATATGGTCGTTCCTCAAAAAACTAAAAACAGTTACCATATGATCCAGCAACTCCACTTTTGGGTATGTACCCAAAAGAACTGAAAGCAAAATCTTGAAGACACATAGCCAAGAGGTGGAAACAAACAACCCAAGTTTCCATTGACAGATGAATGGATAAGCAAAATGAGGTTCCATTGGTACAAGGGAATATGACTCTGCCTTAAAAAAAAGACAATTCTGACCCAGGCTACAACATGGATGAACCGTGAAGATATTATGCTAAGTGAAATAAGCCAGTCACCAAAGAACGAATACTATATGATTCCACTTATATGCAGGACCTAGAGTAGTCAAACCCTCAGAGACAAGAAGTAGAATGGTGGGTGCCAAGAACTGGGGGACCAGGAGAATGGAGAATTCACGTGTAACAGGGACAGAGTTTCAGTTTTGCAAGACGAAAAATGTTCTGGAGGTAGAAGATGGTAGTGAAGGTTGGAAAATAATGTGAATGTATTCAATGCCACTCAACTGTATACTTAAAGATAGTTAAATGGAAATTTTTATACTCTGTATATTTTATTACAGTTTTTAAAATGTTCTAAGTTGATAAAATTCAGTATTATCAAATATGCAGTCAATGTTCAAATTTTTAAAAAATTAATGGTTCCTATCACCATTAGTGGCTCCATGGTCAAATTTCAGAGTCCCTCGTCTAGAACGGGTCGTGCGGGTCTATAGGACATGATGACCCAGGCAAGGCAGAGCCCTTAAGAGAAGTCCATTTTCACTGGGAGGCCTGGTCCACCCTGAGCTAGGAACTGCCAGGGTCTCCCTTGATGGAATTAATTTTCAAATTAATAAGGGAATAAAGCCAAAAAAGCTATGTGATAATTACCCAGCATAAATGAACTCTTCCACCATCTTAGATAAAAGCACCTGCTTCTAGGAGACACTCTATTTAGGGAGAGCAAGTACGTGCTCCCCCACCCAATGCCATGTCTCTGAAGAACAGACCTCCTCCTGGGTCCCCCTACCTCCACCTGCCCTGTGAAAGCAACTCCACCACCCATTCATTCAACCCCCCTGTCCTTCAACCCAAAGCTCGGAGTTCACTCAAACTGGCTTCTGGTTACAGTAAAGCAAAACACGAGGTCTTGTCCACTCCCTGGGCATCGTCACCACTGGGTGTGAGTCCAGCTCTGCGCAGAGGGAGGGTGGCATTTCATCCTGAAGCCTAGATCTTGAGCCCAGAGTCTCCTGCCCTTGGGGGGAGCTCCCTCAACTGCACAAGACCAGTTTCTTGACATCCCAAAGCCCCAACCCCGGCACCTGCAGAACTGACTCGAATGACAGGGACACCCCGAAATAGAAGTCAACTTACACTTAACAACCTTTTAAAAAACAAAAGGCATCAAAAGAAAGTTCTGGAAATTTAATAGTGAGTCCATAAGACTTACTGCCCAAACTCAAGCTCTCATTATATATATATATATTTCAAATAAATTCTTCTGGAAAAAAAAGGTATATTAATTAAAGCTTTAAAAAATACAAAAGCAAATTTTGAAATTTGCACCTCTTGGGGAGTGAAGGAAATGTTACCTATCTTGATTGTGGTGGTGGTTTCACTGGTGTATATACATCTACCAAAATTCATCAAATTATACATCTGAAATACATATAGTTTACTGTACAGGAATCATACCACAATAAAGGTGTTAAAAATATGAAAGCAGTTCATTCTCATTTGTCCATAGAATTAGCCAAATAGAAGTTCCTTTATGTGCATCTAATTCTCACATCTTCTGTATCTAGACATGTGGGATTTTTTTGAAAGGCAGCTTTTCCAAAGTGTTCATTAGAAAACCCACTAATGTGGATAGAATTACAAGAAAATACAGTATGCTTAAGTCCATTGGTCTCATTAACATGTATTTCTTCTCCAAGACTTTGTCAAACCTTCAAATAATTATTTTCAAAAGATTTACTTACAGCTAATTGCCCATTGTGTCAAGCCCCCGGAGGCTATCAGAGATGTGTGCCCCTGTGAAATGCACTCAGGTCTGCTGTTCCTCCCCGCAGGGCAGCCCTCAACCATTGGCTGCAGCTCTCTGCACTGGCCAGTGACCCCACATCCTTGCTGATGCCCTGCCAACCTGAAGAAACCACCAGGTGGGGGAGCGGTCACAGGGACATCCCTCCCTCTATGAGCAGATTCAGTGCAGGCAGGCTAAGGACCCAGCCTCCTCTGGATGGGCTGGAGTGTCTTCTGGAAGCCTTATTTGCCAATCAACCTTCAACAAGATGTTCTTGGCATTTCCTGATGCATCTGATGGGTGAAGGTGAGTGACCAAAATGTCCACACACCAGGAGAGGGTATAGCTCAGTGGCGGAGCGCATGCTTAGCATGCAGGAGGTCCTGACTTCAGTCCCCAGTACCTCTGTTAAATAAATAAGTAAATAAATAATTACCTCCTCCCAAAACAAAAAATAAATAAAATAAAATATTTAAATAAAAACAAAAAACAAAAAAACAACAACAAGAAAGTCCACGCGTAATGGAGCGGATGGAGAACTGAGCATTCATTCTGATCTGTGGGTGACACCAGCACACCCTTTGTTCTCTGGGCTCCTCCATCCCATTCTCTGAGGACAGCCAGAATCCTACCTGCTCTTGGGGCCACTTTGGCCTCTCCTCCGGAGTCCTGGTCTTGGTCTTGAAGCTTCTCTGGGGGTCTCCAGAGTGCTTGGCCTCAGGAGGGAGGTTCAGACACTTAGGCCTTCCCTCATGTCTGCTGGGGCCGCAGCTGGCCTCGCCGGGCGGGCCGGCCTCCGCGGAGTCCCCAGGCCCTGGCTCGGGCCCCCGCGCAGGCGCGTGCTCGGGGCTGGCCTCGCCGGCGCTGGCGATGCTGGTCATACTCAAGCTCATCTTGATCTCGGCCACGATCTGGTCGATGTCCTCCTCCTGGTCCTCCAGGTCCCCATCCCCCCGCCTCGGGCGATAGGGGGAGGCGCCGCCCGCGTTCCCGTTGGCCTCCGTGGGGTAGTAGTCCGGGTAGCCCTCTTCGCTGGCACAGTAGTGGACGCCCTCTTCCTGGTCCTGGGCCTCCAGGACGGAGGACTCGTCCTCCGGGATGGGGAGGCGGCCGTCCCGGTAGTCCGGGCTGCCGTGCGGGTGCGGGCCTGCCGAGTCCGTCCACTCCTCCACCGCCTCCTGGCACTCGTCCGTCTCCAGGTGGCGCGCGCCGTGGGCCAGGTAGCCCTCGCCGTTGCAGTCCATGCCCTCCAGGTAGCTGTCGTCCTCGGGGCAGTAGCGGATGTAGTAGGTGATGCCCTCCTCCTCCTCGGGGAGGCCCTCGTCATAATCCTCCTCCTCGGAGGTGTTGTTCACGTAGTCGGAGCTTGAGTCCCCGTCGGGGCTGTGGTCGTGGCCGCCCGGCTCGGCGGGCGCGGGGCTCTCGGGCCGCAGGGCGGGCGGCTCCAGGCCCGGGGGCGCATACTCCTCCAGGGGCAGCTCGGCGTCCTCGCTCTCGGGCTCCTGGCCGTGCGGGCCAGGCCCCGGCCTCGCCCTGTGGTCCAGCATGCTGCTCGCCGTGCTCTGACGCGTCCGGTTGGCCATGGCAGGCGCTCACGCGGCCATCGTCACCAGGAGGCAGCCACTGCGGGGAGGGAGGAGAAGAGAGCAGAGTCAGAACCCCGTCGGGCACAGCCATCCTCGAGAATCACGCCGGGGAGCGGCCCCGCTGCTGCGTTTCACCCCAGCGCGATGCTGACGCACACCTGTGCCAATGATGTCACACCCGCCCCCAATGACGTCACACCCGCCCCCTCCAGCGGACTCATGCTCGGGACCAACGCACACCCCGGCCACAGAGAAGGGAGGACACACAGGGCTGGAGGAAAGGCGGGTAATGGCTTCTTCCCCCCAACTCACTGCTCACTCATGACTTCTTAAAAATGCCCACTGAGTTGGTAGCCGAGGCGTCCAAGACCATTGGTCAGGTTATTTGTTCTCAAAAATAAAAAGAAGCAGCTTTCATTCCAAAGACACGATGAAGCCAATGATAAGGTGTCCTACACCTTCCGAGTCTAAATCTATTACTCCTCAAAGCCTATCTTAAGTGCCCCTCCCAGGTGAGCTTGACCCCGCCCCTCTTCCGGATGCTGCTGGGCCACAGGACAGTGCAAAGGACGCAGCTGCTGCTTACGGGAGGCAGGTCAGTGTACCATGGGGCACTGCACAGATCCCACGGGCTCAGACCCACATCCCTACTGCTTAGGACACTGTTTTATCCCACAAAACATGTAGAGTCAGTCATCAGGTGATTTTCAGCAGGCATGTGACACAGGATTTCTCTTTCAGCCCCTTCAGGAGACCCGGCAGGACAGAAGTCTGGAGGAAGGGAGGCCAGTGGAAATACTGTTCTGGTCCTCTGGAGAAAGTGGGGGGTGCTCATGCATGAATGGCCAAGTCTTGGTAGCATCGCTGGATGCTGGAAGATTCCCAGTGCTTCCCAGAGTGGCCCACCCACTAGGAATGCATCCCACACCAGGAACACTATCCCTGAGATGGGCCCTGCGGGGTCTGAACGTCCACTCAAGTCACCCCAGTCCCAAACTCTGAAACTGATGGGACCATTCCAGAGATCTGTTCCCAGGCAGAGAGCGAGGTGTTCAGTGGTCTCTACAATACATGGGACCAGAGGATGCATCAACAGTAGTAAGCATCATTTAAAAACAGATTTCCCACATTCACAGAAGAGACCCAACCCCAAGGGACACACTACCTGCTGTAGGAATGACAGGAGGGAGTTGGCAACCACATTCTTTTGGACATGCTCTCCATGGAAAGCAGTCCTCATAATGGTCCCTGCAGCGTGTATTGAATGCAATGGCTAATGGGTGGCCAGATTCTTTTGCCTTGGAAGACAAGATGGCAGGGGGTCAATGGGGCCAGTGGTGAGCACAGAGAAATAAACCTGTTTTCTCATGTGCAGTGCTACACCAGGTAAAGCCAGTGAATGAGATACTGTAAATTTAGATAGTGTACCTATTAAATTATTTGTTTGATCTCCTTTCATATCACTTGTGCCAGTGGAGGTTTACATCACCTCTCTGCATGCGTTTACTAGTGCCTGTTTGAAAGCCTATCCCATGTGAGATGCTGGTCCACGTCCACGGTCACCTGCTCTGTGTGTGGTGTCACTGTCAGTGGTATCACCATCTTCTACAGTCATTTTGGGGATGTGAGCACTTACGCCCAATTCCTGGGGAAGTGACACCACTTCTGTGGCATCTCTGAGTCTCCCCAAGGCCAGACACCAGGTTGTGAACCCTGCAGGTATTCACATCCTTGTCAAAGAACAAACCAAGGTACACAGTACCTCTTACCATCTAACTTCAAGTTCTGTATCATTTGGGGGATAAAATCTGTATTACAAAGAGACATATGCACATCCACACCTATATACAACACTGTATAAGCCAATATAAGACTTAAGGACTAAAGTATGTAGAAACAGTAGCATAGAGCAGACCTTGATCCTATAAATAAGTTCCCCAAGTAACCTGTCATTTAAGGCTGTCCCAGCCAAAGTCTCAATGGAATTATTGGGGAAACTTTGATGCAATAATTCCGATGTTCATTTAGAAGAAACAATTTGGGAAAAATAGTTGGGAAAGAGCTAAAAAATAAAAATGTGGCAGAACCTGTATTATTAAGCATTTAAATATACTCTAAAGTCACAGAAATCAAAGTGGTGTGGTAGTGTTGCTGGCCAGATAGAAATGACACAGATTAGAAAGTCCAGAAACAGACCTATGCTTATGAAAGAATTGAGTCTAGGGTGACCAGCTGTCCTGGTTTGCTGGAACTGAGCACTACTTCCTGGGATACACAATTTTCAGTGCTGAAACCAGTATGGTTGGCCATCTAAGGCATGGGGAAAAGAATATTCTATTCTGTGAGGGGTACTTGGGTGAACTGGTGGTTCTCAGAATCTGCTGCATGTTGGAATCACCTGGGTAATTTTTACAAGTGCGTACATCTGATACCCCAAGTTCACTGGTATAAGCTGTGACCCAGCATCAAGGGTTTTAATGTGCAGCCAAGTTTGAAAACCACTGGGGTGACCATTTGGGAGAAAACTAAGCTGCACCCTACTTTACATGTATATGCTTTTCAGGCAGGCTAAATCTTCAAATGTAAAGAATAAAGGGTTTGACCTTCTACACTGTTGGTGGGAATGTAGTTTGGTGCAGCCATTATGGAAAACAGTATGGTGATTCCTCAAAAAAACTAAAAACAGATTTACCATATGATCCAGCAATCCCACTCCTGGGCACATATTCAGAGAAAACTCTAATTCGAAAAGATACATGTACCCCAATGTTCATAGCAGCACTATTTACAATAACCAAGACATGGAAGCAACCTAAATGTCCATTGACAGAGGACTGGGTAAAGAAGATGTGATGTATATAAATTACAAATACATATATATATTAATATAAATATACACAATGGCATACTACTCAACCATAAAAAAGAATAAAATAATGCCATCTGCAGCAACATGGATGGACTTAGAGATGGTCATACTAAGTGAAGTAAACCAGACAGAGAAAGAAAAATGCCATGTGATGTCACTTTTATGTGGAATTAAAAAAAAGACACAAATGAACTTATCTACAAAACAGAAACAGACTCACAGACATAGAAAACAAACTTATGGTTACCAAGAGGGAAAGAGGGTGGGAAGGGATAAATTGAGAGTTCAAGATTTGCAGATACTAACTACTATATAGAAAACAGATAAATAACAAGTTTATACTGTGTAGCACAGGGAACTATATTCAATACCTTGTAGTAACCTATAATGAAAAAGAATATGAAAAGGAATATATGTATGTACATGTATGACTGAAACATGATGCTGTACACCAGAAATTGATACACATTGTAAACTGACTATACTTCAATTAAAAAAAAAAAAAACAAGGAAACAAAGATGGTGGCCAGATTTGCCTGCTTCAAGGGGAGGTGTTTGGCAGGCACATCTTCCCGTGAAGCAAGCAGATCTGGCCGAGGACAGCCCATCTCGGTCCACACTTAAAAAATAGAAGCTCCTTCTTCCTTTCGTCTCAAAAGGAAATCCAGGTGGTTAACCCACTGGTGCCAGCTCACTGCAAAGTCATCTCCCACTCCACTTTCTCCTGCCTAGCAATGAGAAACTTTTACCCATACAACTTGGGTCTTTTCACTCAAGAAATCTCTTGATGCCACAGTGGGTTTCTTCATAGCTATAGAAGTCTCATAGTCAGTTTATTCTGAGATCTATTATTTTTTGTGGCCATGGTGAGTGGATTTTTCTCTCCTGTTACGCCTACCTGGCTATTGTTGGTATGTAGAATAAAAAATCTATAACTGATCTTGTAAAAGTCCATTTTGAAATTCTAACAGTTTTAGTTGATAATTTTATTCTCTTTTACAGCATTTTGTCACCTTGTCTGGCTGCACTGCCCTGCCACAGTTAAATGACAGTGGTGCTGCTGACAGGCATCCCTGACTTACTCACAGATGTAATGAAAATACCTTTACTCCCCTGGCTTTCTAATTAAACTATAGTTGATTTACAATGTTATGTTAATTTCTGGTGTACAGCATAGTGATTCAGTTATACATATACATATATTGTTTTTCATTATAGGTTATTATAAGATATTGAATATAGTTCCCTGTGCTATTCAGTAGGACCTTGTTGTTTATCTGTTTTATATGTAGAAGTTTGTACCTGCTAATCTCAAACTCCTAAATTATCCCCTAAATGAGGGACGTTGTCTGCAGGGCTGCACGTTTAAGAGAAGAGTGACCTACCTGTTTCCCCTTTGGTAACTATAGATTTGTTTTCTATGTATGTGAGTCTCTTTCTGTTTTATAAATAAGTTCATTTTGTATCATTTTCTTAGATTCCACTTATAAGTGATATCATATGATATTTGTCTTTCTCTGACTTACTTAGTATGATAATCTCTAGGTCCACCCATGTTGCTGCAAATGACATTATTTCATTCCATATTATGGCTGAGAAATATTCCATTGTATACAGACATCATATCTTCTTTATCCATTCTGTTGATGGACACTTAGGTTGTTTCCATGTCTTGGCTATTGTCAATAGTGCTGCTATGAACATTGGGGTGAATGTGTCTCCTTGAACTGGAGTTTCGTCTGGATATATGTCCAGGAAGGGGATTGTTGGATCATATGATAAGTCTATTTTTAGTTTTTTGGGAAATCTCTATTTTGTTTTCCATAATGGCTGCACCAAATTACATTCCCACCAGCAGTGTAGGAAGGTTCCCTTTTCTCCACACCCTCTCCAGAAAAATGCCTTTACTTTTTACCAGGGTTGTTCCAGGGTGAGACAAGTGTGGCCTTCGCCTTGGGCACAAAATTTAACAGGGTGCCGAAGAAAAATTCAGGAATCAAAATAGATAAGATTTTAATGCAACACTTAAAAAATCAAAATGAATGCAAAAAAAAATCCACGATGAACAAAATATCAAAAATTTAAATAAAGACAGGATGAGTATTGCTGAGTTTTTCTTTTGCCTCAGGTTCCCGTGGGGCTTGGCTGGACCATGTGATAATCTTGGT